TAAGAGATTGGCCTAACAAGCAGCAAAATCACAAATATTGTTGGCTTTCTCCTTTCCACAACAGAACCCATATGTGGGTAAAAATAAAAGAGCCCTAGATTTGCAGCTGTGGCAGTTTAGATCCATTTTCAGCCACTGTCACTCTTCACACATCCCATAGACAGGTTATTTAATCTCTCAAAGTCTCAATGTTTGTGTCTCCTGAAAGGGACATTTCTAATTCAGGTCAACTTCACAGAACTGTTGTAAGTACAGACCATGTGCATTTGGAAACTGAAAGAGCACCAGGTATACTTGCTCTGGATTAGTATCATTATGAAATAAACAATTAATATCCAAAAATATAACATTAAAATATAACACCAAACATATAACATCTCCCTAGGTCTACACTTGCTATAGATATAGCTTTTGTACCCACTTTCTGATACCTAGAATTCCAAAAGCTTTTTTTTCCCTTTTGGCTGAAGTTAAAAGTGCCAATCTGCATAGAGGAGATTACTTCGATTGATCAGTCATGGGAACCTAGGGAAAGTGCATTTTCAGTGCCTTTGTTAAAAGGACTATGGCTTTCTGAGGTACAAGAAACACAGAACTTTTGTGGGCAAAAAAAAAGAGAAAAATCTAGATGCTTGGGAACTCTGTTTATAATTTTGCTCTCCTAAACCAATTTTCTTAGCAGCATTGCTTAAAAAACAAACACTGGTTTTGCAATATTTTGCCCTAGATGTCTAAACTTTTTAATCCCTATAATCAATTTCTCTGACTCTTAATGTTTATAAAATACCTAACACATATTTTTGATTAATCCTACTTTTCATTAATAGGAATTGAAGGAGCTCAAAATCTCAAAGCAAAAATGAAAAGTCTTTTCCTTTAAGAAGTATCAAAATAAATGTGGATTCATTTAGGGATTGGAGAGGTGGTGTCTTCTTTAGATGAAACAATTATGATGCGTTCTCTTCAAAAGTGCATATCACAGTGCTTGGTGGCACATGCATGTAAACTCAGCAGCTTGGGAGGCTGAGGCAGGAGGATTGCAGGTTCAAAACTAAGCTTCAGCAACTTAGCAAGATCCTGTCTCAAAATTAAAAGTAAAAAGGGCTGGGGATGTGACTTAGTGGTTGAGTGCCCCTGAGTTCAATCCCTAGTACAAAAAAAAAAAAAAGGGGGAGGGCCTATCAAAGTGCCTAAATTATAATATACACTAAGTAAAGTTTGTATTAGAGTGGATGATTTTGATCTTCAAATTGACTCATTCTGTGCCCATAATCCTACGTGAATATTTGTGTAAGAGCCTAATGTTTCTAACCAGTTCTATCTATCACCTTAGTGAAAAAAAGAGCATGTGAGTATTACCTGGAAGGCAGCTTCAAGGATCGATCAGTGATTTAGAGGAAGACCATGGAACTGTAAGGTCTTGTGGGCTAAGTGAAAAAAAAAAAAGTGCTTTGAGGCGAAGGGAGCACAGCTTTGCTCCTGAGAGGTGTGAGAAACTGAATGTTCAGGACCAACCATTGGATTTGGTGTAAAGGTAATCATTGTTGACTTTGATAAGAGGTATTTCAATGGAGCACTGGGAAACAAAGTCTAACTGGTTGTTTAAAGACAGGAATGAGAGGTAAGGATATGAAATAAGGACAGATTTTTTTTTTTTTTTTTGTACTTGGGGCTGAACCCAGAAACACTTTACCACTGAGCTACATCCCCAGTCTTTTTTATTTTTTAATTTGATAGAGAGTCTTGCTAAGTTGCTGAGGATCTCACTAAGTTGCCCAGGCTGGACTGGAACTTGTAATCCTCTGGCCTCAGTCTCCCAAGTTGCTGGGATTACATGCATGTGGCCACCAGCTGAGGACAGACATTTTAATAAATTTTGCTATACAAGGGGACATAAAGTTGGTGGTACACTCAATAAGACATATAGGGCCAAGAGAGTTTTTAAAGATGGGGTGATGCAAGAACAATAAGATAAAAATAACCTAGTAGAAAGGGAAAATTGAACACAAGAAAGAGGGAGGATAACTGTAGGACCGTCCTTATGCAGAAAAGAGGCAAGTAATCACTGTATAAGTGTGACTTTGGCCCTGCACCAAAACGGGGCTGGTTCCTCTCTGTAGGAACAGAGAGAAGGTAGAGTAGGGACTGCAAATAAAGGCAGGTTGCTGAACTTGTTAATGGGAATTGGAGTAGCCCTTTTCTGATTGCTGCTATGTTCTCAATGAAACAAAGGTCAAAGTGATCAGCTGAGAACAAGCAGAGAGGGGATCAAGACAAAAGGAACATTGTTACTAGCCCTCTTGGGATTGAAAAAATGCAGTAGAATGATCAGGCCATGCTAAGGGTCTGTCCACTTGACGAGCATGTTTGTAAATTCAAAGCTTAGCAGTCAATATGACATTGTGTTCTAATTCGCCCGTGTTAGGTGCTCAGCTGCAAGTTTAGAATAGATCAGGAGCTGGGTTTATACACAGAAGAAGGTTTGCTGGGTCAAAGAGAATTAATGGCAAAATGTATCCAAGGAATTATTTATGATATGCACCATGGCTAACCTGAGCTGAGTAAGGAAAGAAAAGATGTCATGAGCTATGATAAAGGGTGCAAAACTAGGAGAATCAATGGTGGTCCCAGGGGAAGCAAAGATGAAGGTATTTTAAAAGTGAGCTGGAAAAAAATAGAAGTTGTTAGAAATTGGGATACATGAAAATGAAATTTTGGAGGTGGTATGGGTACTGTAATAATAAGTCAAGCTTATCACCAAGGAGAGAGAAGCTGAAGTCATGGCAGGATAAGAACATGGAAAGGAGAGCTTTACCAAATGGCCAAGGTGGATGAGAGGACTGATGGTGGAGAGGAAGGCTTGATCCATGTGCTTAACTCTTTATGAATGGGGGAAGTAGAGTAAGACTCTTAGTGGACTATAAGAACAAAGGTGCCCTCGGTTGCCAGACTGATGGTGTGTGCTTTAAGTCAGTGGGGATTTTTGAGAACATGGAGAGCAAAAATATTCTGGAGTATCAACAGAGAGCAAAGAGGATACATGCCTTTTTCTAAGCGCTGAAATGCACTGAGTGTTTGTGGCCAGGGTGTGGGGCTTGGGAGGAAACAAAGCACACACCATTTGAAAGAGCTTCAGGTTGACATAGACAAGAAACAATGGGCATTTCAGAGAAGGGATGGGTAATAAAGTAGTTTCTTGATGATAGAACTTTGCAAAAGACTCATTGGAGTGACAGAATGAGGTGGGAGACTGAGTTAGAATAGTAATGAACCAAGATGCATGGAGACAAGAACCTAAAGATGATAGAAGACCTAGGGGTCTCAGACTTTTGGGGACGCCTAGAAGTTCTCTGTTTTCAGGAAACTCTGTCTCCCCAATATAAAAATCACTTTCGATCTTCTGTGTCCTCCCTAGTGTTATATTAGAGAAGAGTGGTTAGCTGAATGAACTAATAAGTGAATACATGACCCTCATAAAAGATAGAGGAAGGGCTGGTGATGTAGCTAAGTGGTAGAACACTTGGTTAGTATGCATAAGACCCTGAGTTTGATTCCCAGTACTGCAAGAGGGGGAGAGGGAGATTGATGCTATGAGAGATTCACTTAGAATATCAGCAGGAAATTTTCTATTGAGAAGTAGAAGAACAGCATGGAAAGACTAGAATCTAAAGTCAAAAGATAAGTTTGGGCCCTACTCTGCAACTCACTAGCTGTAAGTTTTGGGGAGGAAAAAAATCACATCTTTCTACATATTTCTGATATCATTTTCTAAAAATATTTTTATAGTAGATGAACACAATACCTATATTTTATTTTTATGTGGTGCTGAGGATTGAACCCAGTGCCTCACATATGCTAGGCAAGCACTCTAACAACCAGCTATATCATTTTTAAAATAAATCTTTTTCCTTAGGAGAGCTTGAACATCAAATGACAGTAACCTCTTTTGGGAGTTCTATACATCTACTACAGCACTAATCACACCCCAAATGGAAATTGTGTTAGAGCTATACAAACAAAATGATGGCAATAAAGGTAGAAGAAATGTAACTAGTTCAATATAATTTTACACACAGTTCTTTGCCTCTGTGCCAATACCCACTCCCAACTACTTGAAGAACTACTATTTTTTGAGAGAGAGAGAGAATTTTTTAATATTTATTTTTCAGTTTTCGGTGGACACAACATCTTTATTTTTATTTTATTTTTTTATGTGGTGCTGAGGATCGAACCCAGCACCCCGCGCATGCCAGGTGAGCGTGATACCGCTTGAGCCACATCCCCAGCCCTTGAAGAGCTACTATAAAAAGATTAATTTCCTTTAGTTTTGAAAGATTTTTCTTTTCTTTGTTTTCTTTTTGTTTGTTTGTTTGTTTTTTTGTCTTTGTTTTAGTACTGGAAATTAACTCCAGGGATGCTCTAATATTGAGCTGTGTCCCCAGACCTTTTTTTTTTTTTCTTTTTTGAGACAGGAACTCATTAAGTTGTCAAGTTCAGCCTTGAACTTGCAACCCTCCTGTCTCAGTCACCTGAGTTGCTGGGATTGCAAGCTCCATGCCTGAAAAACCTTTTAGTCACTGTACTTTATTTAAAAATTTTCTTATAATGCATAATACATGAAACCAGTAATAACTAACACCACCAAGAGGATTATGGACAATATATATATCTCATCACTCAGATGAGGAGTCAGGGTCCAAGAAAGGCCAGTTGGGGTTTCCATAGATGTGTTAGAAGAAACATCAAAACCTCCCTATTAGGTAGCTGGACAAAAACAAAGCTCCCAGGAGAGACTGAGAAAGGAAGAACCATTCCCACACACACCCAGGAATAGGGCAACTGTGTACATGTTGGACAGATGATGTTTTTCTTTGACTCACCCATGTTCTGAGGGAGACCTTTGGCCCAGTTTTAGAAGCAGGCTGAGCCAAGCTGAGGCGGGGCTTCCTGAGGCAGAAGTTCTAGGGCTCTATAAAGCCCAACCAATCTTTGCTGGGCATCTCTCCCAAGGACTGTGAACTGTTAGCTTGTCTGCTTGCTTCTCTGGAAATGCAGCGGCTGTTGACTCCAGTGAGGCGGGTCTTGCAGGTGGGAAGAGTGATGCAGGAGGCTTCCCTCACACCTGCTCGCCTGCTCCCAGCAGCCCACCAAAGGTGAGTCGCCTTCTCCCCAGGGTCTGAACAGATTACTGTTTGAGAAGTAATCTGTCAAAAGATTACTAGAATCCCAGTCAAAAGTTGGTAAGATTTGTGCACAGCCTTAGAGAAGCAGCTTATCAGCGTCTCAGTTACCTCATCCTTAAACAGACAGGTCCATTTCTACTCTAGAATTGGAGGACCCCAAACCCCTAACACATGCTGTTTGGGGACAATAGCATCGTTTACCCTGCCAGCTGCAACAAACAGCAAAATTATCAGTATCAGGATCCACGTCTCTCTCTCCTCTCCTCTACTCTTTGACTACTACCCCTGTCCTGCTCCTGACAAGCCCCTCAGGATTATGCAACTACCATATTAGTAAGACCACTGAATTTAAGTTGCTTCAGCAAAATGCAAAGTGGACTGAGGATAAGAAGCTGTGCTTCTTGGTGCTCTAATTTTATACAAGGGGGAAATGAAATGTAAAGATAAAGCATGTAACTTGTTTACGTGTGTGCATGCATGTGCTTGGGCAAGAAGAATACACATATTTCTTTTCTTTGTAGATATCTACTCAGTCTCTTCTAAGTGTCTGCAATCTCCCAGTGATGATGGTAACAGCTGTAGTTAGTGCCTTGGGCTTCCAGCCAACTGTGTGTTATTATCGAGTCCCCAAATCATCAACTACATCTCAGGACTAGCCCTATCTTTTCTTGAATTTTTACTCAGCACTCCATACATACTGAAGACGTAGAAAAAAGATTTTGTGCTAGTGTCTTCTCTTACCTGACACTGGGAACCTGCATACATGGATATGGTGGGGGGAGAGGCTAATGCTCATTAGCCCCCTTATTTTCCTCATGACTTCATCATCATTTACATCCCTCCTATCCCACCCACCTTTGCCAAACCATTACATACCCCAGCTCAGAATTTAACTTGTCTCTGTATTTGTAGAGAAGCAATTAGCATGGGTTTGCCTATTTCAATAAGCAACAGTTGGCCAGTAACCAAAAGACAAACCTCAGTCCTCAGTGTTCAGATATCTTTGACTCAAACTCTTAGAATCCTCATTTGCATCTAACTCCATTATCTGTGGTCTGAACTAATACCAAGAATGCTCATAATGGGTCACATTTTCTCCAAATATCTAGCTCCTCTAATCCAACCTGTTCAGTTTTAAGTCCAACCCAAGAACTATTCCTGCCTTAGTACCTGCTTCTCTGCTTCTAAAGAAGTTAAGCAAGGTCATGGCCCCAACTGTCTTATGTTTCTCACTATTGTTCCCTCCTCCCCTACCCACCCTCCTCTCCAGGTTCTGTCTGTTCCATCGCCCCTGCTGTGACAACGACCCTTTCATCTCCTTCCAATTCTTCATCAGCAGAAACTTCCCCATCCACCAGGGCTGATCTCAAATGCAGCCTCTCTCATGAAGCCTTTCCTTATCTTCCCACCCATGCAAATCTCTGCTTCCTTTGAACTGCAGGATTTTGCCCATATCTTTTTTTGTGGTCCTCACCACATTCCACCTGGTAGTTGGGTTATGCACCTGCTCATCTCATTTCTTGCCGGATAAAGGACATCATCATGAACCTTGTCCTCTTTTTTATACAACCCCTTTACCCCCAGGCCAGCAGAGTGCCTGGCCTGTAATAGTTCATTTTGAAGGAGGCAAGATGGAGTAAAGGAAGAAAGGTTTGGTGCACGTTCTTGAAGGAAGTGAAACCAGAACAAACAGATTTTAAATTAGAGTGATTATTTCGCAGAGAAAATGCAAGATTAGAAGGACACTCTTCACTCCAATGTCCTGATGCTTCCGGAAACCTTGAAATAATCTTTGTTTTCAAGCCTCTGAAATCCATGTCCAGAAATTGTCCTACTAAGACAATTACAAAGATACCAAATGACTGGTTCTTGGAAACTCTCCTTGAGCCACAGATTGCTAGTTGGGAAAAGAGGAAGGAAGTCAGCCTAGGAGAGGCAGAGTGAGAAGGAAGCTGGGGAAAGCCAGCCATGTTGGCAGCTTCAAGGACTGGCTAACCATTAGCTCCTAGGTACTGGGAAGCTCCTCCATAAATATTTGAAAGTACAAATTCCATTTATTTGGGGGGCACCAAATAAATAGGGCAGATAAATGAACTGCAAACCTGTCCTGACAGATATTGATGAGCATGTTATCACTTTGCCTGCTGTCTTGTGATCACAGGATCCAGCTTTGCCTCCCAGCAGTCCCTCAAAGTGACCTTCCTGAATCTGGTGCTTCCAGAGGCACAGAATCCTGAAATGAGGAATAGAACCATTTAATATAAGCTACAGCTCTTATGGCATAGAGATAATGTTATAAGTCAGGAACCCAAGGAAGTGAAGGGATGGAATATTTCTAACACATGAAAAACTATGATGTTCCCCTGAGCACATGATTTCACCAAGGTGTGCCCTGATTTCACCATCTGTACAGTAAAGAGTGTCACTGAAGTGTCCAGTGCTCAAGTGCTTTCCCCACGGGAGCCTGTGGGAAGTGGACTTGGTGAGCTCTACACTTGCAGCTGGGAGGAGAAACTTCAGATTTTTCACCAAGAGAATTGGAGAGTCAGGCTGAAGAGAAATGTATTGGGTCCAGAAAGGAAACAGATTCTCTTCCCTCTTCTACTGACCCCCATTTTTCTCTCTGCCCTCTGTGATCTTGCAGGTGGCTTGCTCCACTATGTGTTGATCTGTGACAATGTCTGCCTCTTCCTGGGCACACAGGATGTCTGGTTCACTATTGTCTGTCAGCCCTGGGTTGAGTGTCCCCAAAAGCAGACAGGATGGAATAAGCAGAAAATGTCCTTAAAGAGCAGGAAAATGGTGATTATGTTCTTGAGTGGGAAAAAGAAAAAAGGAGGAAAGGGGGAAGTAATAAGAGTGACATTTTAAAAACTGAGTGACATTGTTCTCTTTTGGAGTTTTGATAAAATTTAATGGTGAAGCCAAGTATGGCTTTTTTATTTGTTGGGAGACTTTTTACTACTTATTCATCCTTATTACTTGAAACTGGTTTCTTCAGGTTTTCTTTGTCCACATGGTTCAATTTTAGTAGGTTGTATGTGTCCAGAAATTTGTCAGTTTGTTCTAGGTTTTCCAGTTTGTTGACCTGTAGATGTTCATAATAATCCCTAATGATCCTTTGTATTCCTGTGGTGTTCGATGTGATATCTTCTTTTCCATCTCTGATTTTATTTATTTGGGTCTTCTCTATTTTTTCTTGGTTAGTCTAGCTAAAGGTTTGTGAATCTTATTTTTCTTTTCAAAAAACCAACTCTATGTTTTATTCATCTTTTGTATTTTTTTAAGTCTTTATTTCACTTATTTCTGCTCTCGATATCTAATTTGGGGTTTGGTTTGTTATTGCCTCCCCAATTTCTTCAGTTGTGTCATTGGGTTGTTCATTTGGAATATTTCTGTTGGTTTGATGTAGGCATTTATTGCTGTAAACGTTATCCTTAGTACCACTCTTGCTGTATATTTTCATTTTCATTTGTTTCAAGAAATTTTAAAATTTCCCTTTTGATTTCTCCATTGACCTACTGCTCATTCAAGAGGATGTTGTTTAATTTCCATGTAGTTGTACAATTTCTAAGGAGCCTCCTACTGTTGATTTCTAGTATGATTCCATGTAGTTTTACAATTTCTAAGGAGCCTCCTGCTGTTGATTTCTAGTATTATTCCATGTGGTTAGAGAAGATACGTGCTATGATTTCAAGTTTTTTGAATTCATTAAGACTGATTTTGTTTGCTTATAATAAAGGTCTACCCTGGAGAATGTGCCAGATACTGATGTGAAGAATGTGTATTCTGCAGCCAAAATATCCTATAAATGTCTCTTAAATTTATTTGGGCCATAGTCTAGTTTTAACTCTGTTGTTTCTTTGTTCCCTTTTTTTTGTCTGGGTCATTTGTCCATGGATGAATGTGGGGAGGTGAAGTTGCCCATTATTGTTGTGTTATAGTCGATTTCTCCTTTTTGATCTAATAGTGTTTGCTTTATACAACTGAGTGCTCCTGAATTGGGTTCATATATATTCAAAATTATCTCCTCTTATTGAATTGATTCCCTTATTTTATAGTGAGCCTCGATAGCACTTTCTACAAATTTTGACTTATAGTCAGTTCCATCTGGTAATTTTGGTTTCCTGATTAGTTTTGGTTTCCATTTACATTGTACATCTTTTTCTATGCTTTCACAGTCAGTTGATTTGTGTATTTCCTGGTGAAGAGAGTTTCTTTTACAGAGCATATCATTGAATTTTGTTTTTGTTAAATCTATTCAGCCCGTCTATATCTTTTAATTTAGAAATTAAATATTTCCATTCAAGGTTACCGTTGATAAGCAAAAGCATTTTGTTAATTTTTTCTGGTCATTTTGTCTATTGTTTGATGTTTTTCCATATTGATAGGGTTTTATTCTCTTTTGTGTATCTGCTCTACTATGAAGTTTTGTACTTCTGGATATTTTCATAGTAGTGGTTATCACTTCACTTCTAGTGTAGGACTCTCTTCAGCATTCTTTATGGGGCTAATCTGGTGGTGATAAATACACTCAAGTTTTGTTGTTGTTTGGAAAGACTTTGTTTTTTTTTCCCTTTTGAAGGATACCTTTGCTGGTTATAGTACACTTGGTTGGCAATTTATCAGATTTCTCTAGCTCATGTTTCTGCTGAGAAATATGTTTTTGGTCTAATGGAGACTTCCTTATATGTAACTTGACACATTTCTCTTGCTGTTTGTGTGTGTGTGTGTGTGTGTGTGTGTGTGTGTGTTCGTCCAATCCACTAGGGGTGCTTTGAGTTTTCTGAATGTGAACATTCACATGTTTTCCAAGATTTTGTCAGTTTCATTTTATAGAATAGATTTCCTGGGTCATTTCTTGTCTCTTATCCTGGAACACCCATAATGCAAAAGTTTGCTGGCATATACATCACATAAGTCTCAAAGGCTTTCTTCATTAATTTTTGTTTCTCTTCCTCCTCCTTCTCCTCCTCCTCATCCTTCTTCTTCCTCTCATCCTCCTCCTCTTCCTCCCCCTCCTTCTTCTTCTCTGTGTTATTTTAAAAGACCTGTATTTTCAGGTTCAGAAATTATTACATTATTTCTTCTCACTATTATGCTGTTGAGGCTCTCAATTATATTTTTATATTTTTAGCTCCAATATTCTCCTTTGGGTTTTTTTAAATGATCTCACCTCTTTGTTGGATTTCTCATTTATGTCATGAATTATCTCTCTAATTTCATTGAATTGTCTATATTCTTTTGTATCTCATAAAGTTTCCTTAAAAATCATTGTTTTTTATTCTTTTTCAGGCAATTCATTATTTTCCTTTTCTTTGGGGTTTGTTTCCAGAGTTATTTTGTTCCTTTACACGTGTCACATTACCTTGGTTTTCATGCTTCCAGGGTCCCTACATTGGTATTTGTGCATCTGGTGGATCAAGAAACTGTGACTTTCATGGTAAAAGACTTTCTCCTCATTGTGCGTCACATGGTATTGGTTAGATATGCTGAACTGGGTTGGTTCCAGGTGGGCACTTTAATGTAGTGACTATTGTAGCTTCATCAGCTGTAATTAATGTCAGTGATATCATTGGGCTATAGCAGTTACAGGATCATATCATTAGATGGAATGCTGCTTTCTTAGGTAAGGAGCAGCTCTAGGTTTGGTGCTCTGTGTGTGTGTGGTGGTGTGGGGGGCTTCTGTTAGTTTCCACAGATGATGTGGGGACAAGTTCACTCTGCAGGGCCGAGGCATGTGTGGCACTGCATGTTCAGAAGTGAGGTGGGTTGCTTGCCAATATCTGATGACTACACAAGACCTGAGCAGTACCAGTGAGCCCAGACAGGACACCTGTAAGGGCTAAAGGCTATGGATGTCATTATGTGATCTCCAGTCTGCTTATCTGCTTCTCAGGGTTTTAGTGAGCTCAGCTGAACTTCTCAACTATTTCTTGAGGGCTTCAGGAAGATAGGTAGGGCCACCTGGCTGCTTCCCAGGGCCTTTGTGAGATGAGCCACTTAGGGATGACTATTTACCCATCTGCTTCCTAGGGCTGAAAGTGGGTAAACAGGGCCACACAGCTGTTTAACTGGATTGGGCTGGCCAAGCTGATGGGGGCAGTTGCCCAGCAGTTTCATAGAACCTGAATTGGGCAGGATCTCAAGGTAACACTATGCAGCAGGAGCATGGGTGAGGGAAGGCACTGTGTGAATGGGGCTCTTTCTTTGGGGCAATATAGGAGTGTAATAAACCAGCAATGCCATACACTTGGCTAAGAGTCTGCAAGGGCTATAGACTTTTCCAATAGCAAATATCATAAGATGAGTTAGGATTTCTGGTTGCCTCCTGCTTACCCTTTTCCCACTGAGTAAAAGCCCTCTTTGTTCATGGTGGATAGAAAGATAGGTGCTATTGTTTAGTTCCCCTCTTCATAAGGTTATCATGTATCTCCATGCTCTGCAATGTCTTTGCCACATTCCCATTTCACACTAGCATTCTTCTATCTAAAATATGCCCATAAAATTGCTAGTTTTTCCTTGTAGAGGGAAGCACCCATGTACTCCTAGTCAACCATCTTGATGATGTCACCTCCCTAGTAGAAGTATTAATTCAACAGAAAATACTAAACTTTTACTCATTTGATAACATAGCTTCAAAACATACTAAAACATGAATTTAATGGTTGCTATAATACTGTTTCTTGAGGAAATTGTCTGCAGACTATTAGAGGAATTATGATTGCTGTCTTCACCACAGGTTTTCCAGTCTCTCTGCCGTCCCCCTGGCCAAAACAGATACTTGGCCAAAAGATGTGGGCATCCTTGCCATGGAGGTCTACTTCCCAGCCCAATACGTGGACCAGACTGACTTGGAGAAGTACAACAATGTGGAGGCAGGGAAGTACACAGTGGGCTTGGGCCAAACTCATATGGGCTTTTGCTCAGTCCAGGAGGACATCAACTCCCTCTGTCTGACAGTGGTACAGCGGCTGATGGAGCGCACACAGCTCCCATGGGATGCTGTGGGCCGGCTGGAAGTGGGCACGGAGACCATCATTGACAAGTCCAAGGCTGTCAAGACAGTGCTCATGGAACTCTTCCAGGATTCTGGCAACACTGACATTGAGGGCATAGATACCACCAATGCATGCTATGGTGGCACTGCCTCCCTCTTCAATGCTGCCAACTGGATGGAGTCCAGCTACTGGGATGGTAAGTGCCTTCCAGGGGCATTATGTAAGAAAGGAGCTTGGGTTGGAGGCTGAATAAGATTTGTTCTTAATTCCTCAGGGGGCTTCATCTCAGGAGGGAAAGATAACTCATTCACATAGCTGCTGTTATCATCCAACAGCCACAGTGTAAATAACCACTTAGACGTGGATAGCTTTATACAGTTAGTCAGGTAGCGAGTTCACATAGCTGTTCATTTACTCCTTACAGCAGAGGAGGATGTGGGTGTTACATCTCAGACAATAAAATGAAAGATCTGATAGCTAACCTGCAGGGAGAGCAGAGGCAAGACACAAATCCAATCCAATATATTTCTCCCTTTACTGTACCTATTTCTCTTAAATAATTCCTAAGTCTCTGAGAGATTGGTGATGGTGAAAGGTTCATACAAATTTATATAGTAGAGAAAAAAATTCTATGGCAGAGAATCACAGGAAAAACTGTTAGCATAATATTTTGCTCTTTCTCTCTTGCTTGACTCCTAGGATATTGATTTTGCTTAATTTATTAACAATACCTTGTGTCTTATTTATATCTTCCCTCAAAGCTAAACTGGAGGAATACCACCAGTTGTGATAGAACAAAAATCACAAAGGGAAACAGTACAAGATGAAAGCTGGAAACCCTAGCTCTCTCAGTAATTGCTGACAAATCCCTTCACCTCTTGGAACCTCAGGGTTCTTATTTGCCTATCTGCCTTGCAGGGCTGGTAAGAAACTTTGAATAAAATAATCCACATGTATATGAAACACAGTAACTTGCCCATCAAGGTACTCTGTTTGCTGAGCTTAAAACTAGGACTAAAAACCTTGAGAACCATTGTCAACGTTAATTATTATAAGAATAATCATAAAATTTTGATGTTGATGGGAGTTTAGAAGTTTCTTTCTTTTTTGAAGGGGGGGGCGGTTACTGGGGACTAAACTCAGGGGCACTGGACCACTGAGCCACATCCCCAGCCCTATTTTGTATTTTATTTAGAGACAGGGTCTCACTGAGTTGCTTAGTGCCTCACTGTTGCTGAGGCTGGCTTTGAACTCGCCATCCTCCTGCCTCAGCCTCACAAGCTGCTGGGATTACAGGCATACACCACTGTGCCTGGCTGCATCATTTTTAAAAAAGCTACATAGTATATTCTATTGATGGATATGGCAAACTTTATTTAATTCATTTTATACTGATGGATATTTAGATTTTTATAATTAAAGTTTTATAATTAAAGTTTTTTAACACTTTACAATAGCTTTACATGCAGAAGTATGGTATAAAAATAGAATTCCAAAAGTTGAATTGTGGGATATATCTATTTAAAGGTTTGTTTAAAATGTACCAAATTGATCTACAAAATATTGGGTTAAACTGCATTTCTACAATACATGTTTTCAAGCCTTTTCAACTTTGTCAATTTAATAATTAAAATCATAGTGATTTCTATTTGCTTTTCTCGTATTATAAGATACCTTGAATATTTTTTACAGTATTACAGGCTATTGTTATAAGACCTTTATAAATGAAGAAAAATAGGTATTGTTGTTTGTAAATCTTGTAATTATTTTACAAGTTATTTTCTTTTTACTTTGTTTCTGATAGAAGTATTGTTTTTTAGGTAGTCAGATTCTAGTGTTTTTCTGAATTGTTTCTAAGTTTTTTCCTATAGTTTCTCAATTTTGCACAATGTATGTGGAAATATATATATACATGAATACATATGTGTGTGTAAACACATATACACACACATGTACACACACCACTCGGGGGAAAAAGCAAAACTTTTTGTTGGGATTGTTTTGATTCTTAAGAGAAGGTCCTTGGACTTCACGAATGTGGGTAGGTATCCTCACTCTGAATCTTTATCTTACCATTTAGCTATGTGGTTTTGGACAAGTGACTGAAGTTCTTAGGGCCTCAGTTTCTTCACCTATAAAGAGGAGTTTATTATATCTGCTATATAGGATTATCGTGAGGTTTAAATTATATGAAAATCTTGTTTCCAACACAGGATTGGGGTGAATGTTGGGGGCTTACTCATGGGTTAGATAGAACACTAAAATCCCTAACATGTCTGTCCTATAGTTTTGATTTTTTTTTTTTTTTTTTTTTTGTGATGCTGGGGATTGAACCCACAGCTTTGTGCATGCAAGGCAAGCACTCTTATCAACTGAGCTATATTCCCAGCCCTAGATTTGACTTTTGATGACAGTACTTCTATTGGATAAGAGTGGAATGAATAATATTCTGTCACAGAGTTAGGTACTGTGAATCATTTGCAGGAATTGTGGTTATTCAACATAAACTCTTCAGGGTACATGGTTTTAGGATCCAGTCAGAACTTGGTTTGACTCTTGAATTCTATATATGTCGACCTGAGACAAATTACTTAATGTTTTTGGAGGGCAACATCTTCATCCATGAGTGTAGATATTAACCGCCTCATTAGGCATTTTGAAGAACTGTTTAAAGGTAACTTTTGTCTAGCTGGTATTTTAAATGTTAGTTTCCCTCCCTATTTCTTGGCCTTCCTTCTATGATTTGGGAGATAGTTCAGGATTGTGGAGGGTTATAAGGTGATTGATATGAACCTAAGTTGTCTCCACAAGTGCCAGTAAATAATTTTTTTATTAAATTCAGGAGCAGAATTCTGAATAAATGAGCATTCAGCAGCTAGAATGCAAGGCCACTGAGTTTTGACTTTGCATTTCAAATCCATCATGAGTTTTGCTACAGTATAAACTTCATAGGATTGGGAATTTTTTGTTTTGTTTTGTTTTGTTTCCTCTATTTCCAGTTCCTAAATTTGTGCCTGGCACATGGTAGGCACTCAGTCTATTCTAGATTTGTCAGTGATAAAATGACTTCTTGCCTGTCTTTGCAGGTCGCTATGCACTGGTGGTCTGTGGAGACATCGCCGTCTATCCCAATGGTAATGCTCGCCCCACAGGTGGGGCTGGAGCTGTGGCAATGCTGATTGGGCCCAAGGCCCCTCTAGCCCTGGAGCAAGGTTTGTAGTAATCTGTAACCAAGAGATTGTGCATGGCATAGCCAAACCCATAGATCCTAATCCCAAATTGCTACTCAGGGAAGTGGTATGGGTTTGAGGATGGTGTCGCCTGCCTCCAAAATTCTGTTCTTGGGAGCAGAAGGTGGGGAGGAAGAGAAAAGGGGAATCAGAGAGGTTTCTTCTTCTACATCATCGTGCGTTAGGATAATGATGCATGCAATGAGTGGTGCAGATGCTGATGAAGAAAACCTAGGGAACTAAACTGGGTATTGGCAAGAAAGAAGAGAACTGGATACGAAGTAAATCTTCCTTTGAGAATTCTGACTTCTATTCCAGGTTTTCATAAGCCCACATAGATGGAGTGAGGGAACTGTAAACCTCATTTATGTAAAGACAACCGTCTTTCAGCTCCTTTGGAATATGTAAGAGATTTGAGTAGGCATGGTCTTGGCAGGGGAGACGAATAAAACACAGGGAGATCCTTTCACACGGTTCTCCCATCCTTTCTGTGTAAGGTGACCTGCACTGTGTGGTCTCTGAAGCCCTCTGTGTGCCTTTACAGGGCTTAGGGGAACCCATATGGAGAATGCATATGACTTCTACAAGCCGAATTTGGCCTCAGAGTACCCGATGGTGGACGGGAAACTGTCCATCCAGTGCTACTTGAGGGCCTTGGATCGATGTTACACATCATACCGCCAGAAAATCCAAAAACAGTGGAAGCAAGGTAAGGGATTCAGAGAGCAGAAAGCGAGGGGCTCTATTTCCATGAGCCAAGAGTGTGTAAAAAGCTTAAGATTAGGTTTCTTTTCTCCTTCCCTGAAAATGATGTCAAGAAAAATATTTTAAATCCCCTTCTAGACTCTTCCTGGGTCTGTGCAAAAATCCATTTGAAGGTCATTCAAATTCAAGTACAAAATTGCCTATAACTTAAGGTTAAAAAAATTAATAAAATAAGCAATCCAGGGCTAAAGCCACAAATATGAAACCAGTGCGTCCCCTATCTGGGAAGATACTCGTAAGAAAGAGTGGCCACATCCTTCTGGGATTGGGATTTATTTCTGTTTAAGTCAGGTGTGATTTGATTCTTGGTTTGTAGTTTTCTGTTTGTTTGTTGAACCCAGAGGTACTTAACCACTGAGCCACATACCCAGAACATTTTATTTTTTTATTTTGAGATATTTAGCCCATCCAGTGTAAAATTGCTGTTGACTAATTGCTCTCACCTCTTTTAAGTTGCTCAGGGCCTTACTAAGTTGCTGAGGCTGGCTTTGAATTTATAATCCTCCTGCCTCAGCCTCCTGAGCTGCTGGGATTATAGACGTGCACCACTGTGCCTGGTTTGGTTTCTAGTTTGTAGTTTGATTGATGTTGTAAAGTCTTACTTACATTTTAAAAATATTAAGTGTTACCAGTGATTTTTCTCTGGAGGATGACATTACAGGTTGATTTTTTTTATATTCACCTGAATACTTTCTGAATTTTCCTGTTAAAAATATGCACTTGCTTTGATAATCAGAAAATGAGTATTTTTTTAAATGAAGAAAAATCCACTCACTGACCTGGATGGGTACTGCCTACCACAGGTGATACCCATGGGTAAGGAGTTGACTCGTCTTTACCTTTGCCCATCCACTATAAAATTGCTGTTGACTAATTGCTCTCATCTCTTTTAGATTCTTATGGCATTTTAATTTTGCTCCTTGTTCTTATAAGAAGTTTGAATGGATGCTGCTTTGAATCGTAGCACTGAACTTTAAACTTCCTTGAGGGCAGAAGTTGCATTATCCTCCTATTTAGAATAAGAGGGACAGACTGTAGTATACAAGCTGAGATACCTGAGCCAGAATTCAAAACCAACCTTTTTCCAGTGGAATGGCCCTGGACATATCACTTAATAACTTAGAGATTGTTTCTCTGGAAAATGATACAACACAATGTTGATTTAGTGACATCATCTGCCATAGAGGTTAGCAATGGTAGACACAAAGACCTTTCTTTCCCTTCTTTCACATAATAATACATGTAAGATAAGCGAATAGCTGAATGCAGTGGTGCACACCTATAATCCCAGTGACTCAGGGGCTGAGGCAAGAAGATTGCAAGTTTGAGGCCAGCCTAAGCAATTTAGAGAGACCCTGTTTCAAAAATAAAAAAATAAAAAGGGCTGGGGATGTGGCTGAGTGGTAAAGCAGCCCTGGTTTCAATCCCTGGTAACAAAATAATAATAATAATAATAATAATAATAATAATAATAATAATAATAATAATA